ATCAATAAAGACAAAATATGATCATCTAAACACAGAGGAAGGATTTGACAACACTCAACATCCATTGCAAGTAAGAGCTCAGCAAACTAGGGAACAGGGGACACCCTCAGCCACTTCAGGGTACCTCTGAAACGCAGCAGCTCCCGTCCCACTTAGCGTGAAACGCCCGGTGGTTGCCTAAGAGCTAGGAAGGGCCAACAGAGCCCTTCTCACCGTTTGTGTCCCTCGTTGTCCTAGGGACCTCGGCCAGGATGGCAGGGCGAGAGGGAGACGCAGACCCACCTGGAGAGCAGGGAGCAGGCCTGTCCTCACGTGGAACGTCCTATGGGAACGATGACAGCGGAGACCAGGAGAAGCGAGCTCAGCGAAGCGGCAGATGAGGTCAGTTCACATAGACCGGCGGCATTTCCACAACCAGCAACAAGCAACTGGAAAGTGAAATTTAAAAAGCAGTGTCATTTACAACAGCATCAAAAACACATAACGTGATAACCATTGCTGCAACAGCAATCACACTGCACTACACAAATGCGTCAGAGTAACATTGCACACCTTAAATGCACACGCTGTCACATGCCGAATGTACTCAGTGAAAGTTTTTAAGAATACGAAGTACCAGCTTAGGGATATTTCTGACAAAAGCTGTAAAACCACTAAAACCTACAAAATACTGTGAAAAGATTAAAGAACATCTAAATAAATGGAGAGGTGCATTGTGTTCATGTGTCAGGAGACTCAGTGTTGTCAAGACACCAATTCTCCCCAAGTCAGTTTATAGACTCAGTGCGATTCTGATGAACCCAGCAAGCTTTTTGGTAGAAACTGACCAACTGATTGTAAAATTCATGTGAAAAAGTCCACTACTGTGCTCAATTTGCCGACCAAATTGTAACCATCTGAGTATCCAAAAGTCAATTCTGGTTGATCGGAACAAGCTGAGTCTGTGGAAATACTGACTGACCCAGCATTTCATTTGTCAGGAGGCTCAAAAAGGAAAACATTATACTAGGTGCACAGAGGATAATTACAGTAGAAACGGCGACACAAGTGAGACGTGATAAATTAGCCTCATTTCATAAGGATTTTCATAAAATGGGTTTCTATTCATAAATGTATTAAGAAGAGAGACCCCATGAGTTAGAGTGGCCCCCTCACCTGCTTATGTTAGCAGTGATGCAAGACATCAGCCGGCCCTGGTAGGAGCGAGACACGCCAGACCCACACAACATCACACAGGACAGAGGGACACTCCAGGACCCCCATAGCATCACTCAGAATGGCGGGACATGCCAGGACCCATGTAACATCACAGAACACGCAGCGGTGCATGTGGACAGCACTACATGGGGTGGTCACGAGACACAAAACACATCACGCCCAGGGAAGTCAGGGAGCCCAAGCCAGAGTGAGATCGGGAAGCCTTGGTGCCGAGAGGCCTCCTGCCGTCGGAAGCTCCCGGTGCTGCCACCAGGCTGAGTCTCTGGGAATCGAGCGGGACAGCTCGGACCTGTGGTCTTCTAATCTCAGATGGTACCCCTTCCCTTTCAGGCCTAGTCAATGAGTGAAGCCCAGGAAAATAGGAAATAAAAGTCAAAAAGATGAAAACACGGCCAAACCTATGACCTGAAGGACTTTGCAGTTGGCCCAGGTGTGGTGTGACATGTTCTTCACCACTGTGACCATTTGGCCAAGTCCGATGACCCACAGGGTTTGAGGCATTTAAAAGAGTAGACATTTAAATAAACCTATATTTGTGATTTAGCTCAATGGGATTTGATTGAGTCTAAGAAAAGTTTTCATGTTTAAGAGAATTGAATGTACAAAATGTATGTTTTACTAGTTGTGTAAGCAATGCTTAAGGGCTTAGTAAATCTTTTAAGATTAAAAAGTCAGGTATTAAATAAAGTACAGTGACTTTCACTACCTACAGAGCCCTGTGGACAGGGCTCAGGGCGGTTTCTCAGGGTGTGCGTCCAGTGAGCCCTGAAGGGCCCCTCCCGGGAGATCTCCCTGGGTTTCCAAAGATCAGACCTATTGTCTCCTTTACTCAAATAATGAGTTACTACTTTGCAATGAAAAGAGAATGAACCATTGGATCAGGGGCAGCACAGATGGACCTCAGAAACGTTACACAGCAAGGAAGTCAGACACCAAGTGTGCCGCTTTGTGATGCCACGTACATGCAGCTCAAGAACAGGCAAAGCCGAGCCGTGTTTCAGGAATCAAGAGCTGCTTACACGTGGGGTGAGAAAGTTGACAGGAAGATGGCAGAGGGAGGTGTTGGGTGATCAAAGTGCCCTTTGTACTGGAGTGGGTGTGGTCGTGTGGAGACACGTGTGCCCAGAAGTACATATAAAGTGCTGGGCTCTCTGGATAAGACTTCTGTTCCAACTTATGGCATGTAAAACACCATTCAATAAAATAATGTAAAAAAACAGAAAACACTGGCTACACCTCAAAAGAGAAGCAGTAAACTGAAGACAGTTCAGAGGTTAGTGTCCAAACTGAAAAAAACGAAAGACAGCAGGATGGAAACAGTGAGATGACCATGAAATTAAGTGTGGGACATAATCCAACAGGCATCCAAAAAGGATAATGGAGGAAGGGTAATACTTGAAGAGTTAAGATTAGGAAATTTCAAAGCTTGTCAAAAATGCAGATCATGGAGGCACCGCCGACGTCCTAGTGAAACAGCGGCAGCGCGGAGGAAGTCCGAGGGCCAGCTGTAAGACAAAAGGCTTGCTATCTTTTAAGGAAATGAAATAATGAAGCATACTTATTGATTTAAATGAAAGCAAAAGAGACAAAAAAGGAAGTTAGAGAGTGCATTGTAAACCATCAGGATAAACACATCGCAATTCTATAAATACAAACACACTAAATGCAAGAGCCTACGTCTCTGTATTAAGAAAAATCAGCTGTGTGATGGTAATAGGAGACATAAATGTAAGGACTACAAAAAGGAAGGGAACGTTATGCTACATAAATTTAACCCAAAGAAAGCTGGTGGGCTACACTCAAAACTTCAGACTTTAGGGCAAGAATCATTATATGAGACAAAGAAAAAATTAATCATGACAAAAGGCTTGATCCACCAGGAAAATGAAACCATTTTCAATTTGAACATGCTTGATAACATAACCTCAAAATATACAAATTAAAAAGATATAATTTACAACAGAAATAATGAATCAACAGTAATAGTGAGAGATTTGTAACACGTTCTCAGCAGCTAGCAAAAGAAACAGATTAAAAAAACAAACTATCTAGAGAAGATTTGAACGTCAAAATTTTAAGTGAACATACGTGTTGTAAAAAGAACAGTACAACCCTCAACTATAGAGTACACATAGTTTTCAAGTGTGCGGGATTTATCAAAGTTGACCAGATGTTGAGTTATCAAACAAATCCAACATCCTTCAGAATACTGACAACACAAAACATAGTGTCTCTAATCACATTGGAATATAGCTGGAATCAGTACAAAAAGAGAACTGAAAATCTCCACCAGTTTGGAAATTGAAGAAAACACATATGAATAATCCACAGATCAAATAAGAAATCTCCATGAGAATCAGAAAATGCTTGGAACTAAATTATACTGTAAATGACCTGAGTTATAATTAAATTATAAGATGAAGTGAACTTCAATGAAATTTTCATCAAAATTAGTGGGAAGCAGCTAAAACCATGTTTAAGGTGGAAACTTAAAACCATTAACGCACATATTAGGAAAAAAGAGAAGGCAGAAAATCAGTGATCAAAAGAACACAACAAGCTATAAAAAGAAGAGCAGATTAAACACAAAAAAGGTAGAGAAGGAAAATAACATACATAAAAGAAGAAATTAATGAAATTTAAAAACATGAAAAGAAAAGATCAACAAAGTCAAACTCTGGTTCTCTGTTAAGACTAATCTGGGGGGTGGGAGACAGAGAGAGAGAGAGATTACCTGTCTGCTCTAAGGCTTCCTCTCCTTCAGGATGATGACGCTGACGGCCCAGAGGGTTCTCCTCTTTGACCCCCAAGGCCCTCAAGACTGAGCACTCAGTATACAAGTGACAGATGATTCTCTATCTCGTGTGTGTAGGGGAACTTTCACTGTTGACACTTCACCCTGTTCCTCATAGTCAAGAGTCTGGCATGTAGAGACATTTGTGCAGGAGCTCAGGGACACATAGGCTGACAGAAATGAGGTCATCATTTGGGGAACAGGATCAGAGAGATGCCTTTACAATTCAGGTACAGATTTTGATACAATTGAACATTATGCTTCTTTTCAAGGAAGCTGATCTCTTGCAATCCCATGGACTCAAGAAGACTGGGAAAGCCATGAAGAGGGTCCCAGGGACCCCTTTCCCAGAGGAATGCTGCCAGTCAGAAGGGCAGCCTAGTTCACAGGTGACATGACCTTGCGTGACCCTCACGAGATCTGTTGTTTCTGCCCTTGTGGCATGTTTAGTGAAGCTACATAACCTGTCTTGTTTTGATTATTTTCAACTAAAACTCCGGTTTTCCCAAGCCCAAACTGAAGAACCTGCTTGGAACATGCTGAGAAGAAACATGGGGACCCTCTTTAGGTGACCCCCCTCACTGGAGCTGCAAATTTGCCTGAACAAATTATGTCTCAGGTGGGGCTGGGTGAAGCAATGCTTTACAGTTGCTAGTGCTGGAAAGATGGGTCTGTTCACGGTGGGGCTTGAAGACTGGCCGGGAAACCACTGAAATGTCTAGGCAGCAGCAGAAATTGAACCACAGCTACCCAAGTGCTAGGTGAGTGCCAGGGACAGGACGGCAAGCTCCGAAAAGTTGCCTTCAACTACTTATTTCTTTTCCCTCTTTCTTGTTAAAAACAACCTTAGTGAGTATAATTTATTTACCACAAAAGCACCCATTTTAAGTGTCTGATTCCACAATTTCAAACAAGCCCCACCTTAGAGAGATCTGCGCTGGGCCGCCCCTCCAGGCGGGAGCTGAGGGGCAGAGCGTGGGTCGCGGCCTCAGCGGCAGGAGAGCAGCCTCCTGAGCACAGCTTTGACCTCTGTGTTTCTCAGCGAGTAGATGAGGGGGTTCAAGGATGGCGCCACAAATGTGTAGGTCACCGACACCAGCTTGTCCTTGTCCAGCAAGTAGCTGGACGTGGGGCGGATGTAGGTGTGGATGATGGTGGAGTAGTACGTGGAGACAACCAGGGGGTGGGCGGAGCAGGTGGAGAAGGCCCGCCGCCTGCCTGCGGCTGAGCGGATGCGCAGGATGCAGGCGATGATGCAGCTGTAGGAGAGCAGGATCACGGAGAAGTTCCCTACGGCCAGGACCACATCTGCTGTGAAGGCCATGGCCTCGTTCAGGCCGGTGGGGGCGCAGGAGAGCTTCAGCAGAGGTGGGATCTCGCAGAAGTGCTCGACCACGTTGGAGTGGCAGAAGGGCAGGCTCAGGGTGAGGCCCGTGTTCACACTGGTGTTGGTCAGGCTGACCACCCACACTGCCGCCACCAGGAGCGCACACGCCCGGGGGCCCATCAGGGCACCGTAGTGCAGGGGCCGGCAGATGGCCATGTAGCGGTCATAGGCCATGGCGGAGAAGAGCAGCAGCTCGGCCCCCATGGACCACGTGAAGAAGAAGAGTTGGGCCATGCAGCCCCTGTAGGAGATGGTCTTGCTGGCCACCATGCCGGCCGGCAGCTTAGGTAGGATCGTGGAGGTGCAGAGAATGTCCACCACGGCCAGGTTGAACAGGAAGAAGTACATGGGTGTGTGCAGGGCTGGGCTGGAGTTGATGAGCACCACGATGAGCAGGCTTCCCAAGAGGGCCGCTGTGTACAGAAGGAAGGCGGGGAAGAGCAGCATTCGCAGCCCAGGTGTTTCTGAGAGCCCCTGAATGAGGAACTCAGTGACCAGAGTCTCGTTCATCACAGCCCCAGTGGGGACCAGGCCAGGTCCCTCCAGGAGCACAGGGGCGGCTCTGACACTGGCTGTAGAGAAAGAGGGCTCACGGTTTGAACTTGTTCTGAACACTGCCTCTTGCAAACATGTGTGTGACCCACTAGAAAGAATTTCAAATGCTATTTCGGTGATAAAAATGGGGCTTTGTGCCCCTGATAATTTTGGACACCTGGGAAATTGCCATGAGCTGCTGCCTGGAGATGTGGAGGAGCTCCAAGTCCCACCCCGTCTCTGCCAGTGACTGCGATGGCCACTCAGAGGTCTCCAGACTGAGTCCTGGTCAGTGTGCATAGCATGTCCTTCCCCAGCCCTCCTGGAGCACCGAGCACACGTCGGGTGGGGTTGGGGTGGGCTTCCTGGGAGCCCCAGGAAGGAAGGTCCTGAGCTCTGTCTCCTATTTGAAAATCTGTGTTTACAGCCCACTCACACACTCCGACAGTGTCAGGGATCAGAGGAGGAACCAGGGGAAAAGGTAACATACTAAATGCGAAAGAACCTGTTTCCAAAATCTGTGTCTCCTCCTACACTGACCATATCCTGCCAGCACTGACTGAGGTGAGCCAAGGGTCCTCACACCCCTGGTCTCTGGACAGCCAGGGGCCAGGATGGGACTGAACCCTGACTCAGCTTCAGATCCTGCTGCTGCCTGCCTCCAACACAGCCCACAACAGGGCCCCCCCATCCTGCTGCTGCCTGCCCCCCCACAGCCCACAGCAGGGCCCCCCAATCCTGCTGCTGCCTGCACCCCAGCACAGCCCACAGCAGGCCCTCAAAATCTGGGACAAATCACCACAAAACTCTTCAGCTGAATCAAAAAGACCCCCCCAAGACAAACCTGAAATAGGGGTACTCGGGCTCAAGCATGCCAGCTTCCAGATAGAGATGCAAGTGCGCATGTCTGGGCTTGTTACAAACTGTGACCCTGTGTGGGGCACTGTGCTGATTTCCATGAATGCTTCCTGAAAGCATTTCACCACTTAGATCATAGCACCTTAATTAACCAAGAAGATTGTCGCATGTCTGCATAAAGCTGGGGGCCAGCAAACTACTTCATGATGTTGACTTAGACCTGGTCTCTGTGCCCAGAGCCTTTAGAAGCAGCATCTCAGACATTAGGACTTTGACTAAATATTACAGAGACGTGTTCCTGTGAAGGGTGCTCCATGACTGACACCCAGACCACCAACTGGAATGTGCTCACTGGTGTGGAAAGTGCTGACACTTTTCAACCAACAGTCTCTTACACTGGGAGAGAAACAGAGAGACACAGAGACACACAAAGAGAGAGATGGAGACAGTGATTTCATAGCACATTTTGTGCACATTACTCATTTTCCATTTTTAAATATAACTACAGAACTTCCATTCTTAAACATGACAGCCAAAGTGGGTTCATGGCTCTTAGTCACAGGGCAGAATATAATCATCTACTCAAATCTAAGTATTGTTTTCATACATAAAACACACACAGTACACAGAACGCACATTCAGTTATAGCAGGTGCTTACAAAAGATGGAAAACTCTGTCTGGAATTCCTGGTATCTTCTCAAGAAACTTCCTTCTCAGTCCAAAGGAAAAACTCTGGAGAATTATCAGCAGCCATTAGGATATAGTGTTGATTTTTTTTGAAGTATAGTGAGTGCACCTACTGTCGAGAGGAGGTCAGCCGGAGACCCATGACCAGGGCCAGAGAAGCTCTATACCACCTGAAGTCAGCAGAGACACGGCTCACAGTTGGTGCTCAGGGCCCTCAGGGACCAATTAGCACAGAACCTGCTCTCCCTAATTAAGCAGAACCAGCCCATGAGTTCAGGACTCTCTGGAGAAGATGACCAGAATCTAGGGGACAGATTTAAACACGACCAAGTAAGAACTGAGGACGTCCTTGGCACCTGCTGGAATAGGGGCTGGTGCTTAGAAGTGACCGCCATGGACTGGCTGACCAGCAGCAGCAGCACAGACCACTGCGGGATGTGCAGAGCTGACATGTAAGACAATGAGGTTGTCATGGCACCCAGCCAGTGAACAAACTCACCCATCATCTCTGCTCAGGGCAGACACTGCCTTTCCTTCCCAAAAGGAAGCACACACAAGTCAAGGGTAACCCCTATTAGTTGGTCGTTGGCCAAAGGCTGTTACTGGACATCACCAGATTTCAGCACCTTGGAGTGCTAATGGCCTGGTGTCCGTGGCCCCTGGCAACATCGCTCTCTTTCACTGTTACCTTCCTCACACAGCAAGCAAGTGCAGACTTCATCCGATCATCACAACTCCTCTTAACAAGTGCTTAACAAATGGGGAGAAATGGAAGTCACCCTGCCCTGGGCAAACCACACACCCAGGCCAGTGCTAACCAATGGCTGCAGGCTGCCCCGCTCCTGGAAAGCATTAATCTTACAGCTGGGGACTTTTCAGTCCTCTGGGACATTAAATGTGGAATCAATGTGGGCTGGTCGCCAGGTCTTCTGAGAACCATCCTGCTGATCTTGCCTGGACATCTTCCATTCCTGGTCAGGGCACCTACCAGTTTGCGTCTAAGCAAGGGTCCACTCACCCTGACTCAGCATAGGGGTTTTATGTCTTAATCCTCCACCCCTTGTTGTCAGAAAAGGGGTCAGCTTCTCACTTGGGGTGCTTATTGAGAGTTGAGATGGAGCCAGGTGTTTTCACCCACTTTATTTAGGAAATTGATAAATGTAAGTATATATACTTTGTTTGCACAACAAAGGTTTTTTAGGGTGTACAACATGATGATTTGATATATGCACACACTGTAAAATAGTTACCACAAGAAAGTTGAAAAACACATTCTTCGTCTCACAAAGTTACTTTTTATTGGTGAGAATGCTTAATACTTACTCTCTTAGCAAATACCAAGCACACAATACGGTGTCATTAACTCCAGTCTCCAGGCAGTGTCTTCCATCCTCAGAATCTACTCACCTTGTAACTGTGTGTTTGTACCCTTAGATCAGCATCTCTCGATTTCCCACACCCCAAGCTCCTGGCAGGCACCATTCCGCTCTGTTTCTGTGTGATGAAACATCTGTTTAGATGCCACATATTAGTCATAATGTGCAGTGCTGGCCATTTTTGTCTGGCGTATCTCACTTGTCATGTGTTCTCCAGGTTCACCTGTGCTGCAGCAAATGCCAGGGTGATTTTTGTAGAGCTGATTAATGGAGTCTTTACTGCTTTCTCGATACAAGATCATGCCATCTGCAAACATAGCCGGTTTTACTTTTTCCTTTCCAATTTAGTTGCCTTTTCTTTCTTTTTCTTGCCTGCTTGCCCTGGCTAGGACCTGCAGTACTGTGTTGAATAGAAGTGGTGAGAGTGGGCATCCTTGTCTTGTTCCTCTCTTAGAGGAAACGCTTTCAGCTCATCACCACTGAGGGTGATGATACCTGCGGGCTTGTCATGTGTGGTGCTCATGTGGAGGTGCCTCTCCTCTGTATCTAACAGCTGAGAGCTTTCACTGTGAAAGGATACTTTATTTTGTCACATTCTTTTCTGCATCTATTGAGATGGTCATATGGTTTTATCCTTTATTCTGTTAACATGGTATGCCACATTGACTGATTTGTATGTGTTGGACTAGCCTTGCATCAAAGGATAAATATCACTTGATCATGGTGTATGAACCTTTTAATGTGCTGTCAAGTTTGGTTTATTAGTATTTTGTTGAGATTTTTGCCTTTAGGTTCATCAAGGATATTAGCCTGGAATTTTCTTTCTTTCTCTTTTAACATTTTTTATTGAGTTATAGTCATTTTACAATGTTGTGTCAAATTCCAGTGTAGAGCACAATTTTTCAGTTATACATGAACATATATATATTCGTTGTCACATTTTTTTTCACTGTGAGCTACCATAAGATCTTGTATCTATTTCCCTGTGCTATACAGTTTAATCTTGTTTATCTATTCTACATTTTGAAATCCCAGTCTGTCCCTTCCCACCCCCTGCCCCCTTGGCAACCACAAGTTTGTATTCTGTGTCAA